TGCAGCAGCAAGGAGTAGCGTCTGCAACCCCTGGGGTGAGAAAGCAGCAGACGAGCTGCGGATACACCGGAGAGGCTGAGGAAGGGGACAAGGGGAGATGAAAGCCCCGAAAGGGGGAGAGGCCGCAGCACTGCTGCTGCTGCTGCTGTTGCTGCTGCTGCTGCTGCTGCTGCTGCTGCTGTTGCTGCTGCTGTTGCTGTTGACCTCAGTCCGACCGCGAGTGGGCTAGGGTTTGGACTCTGAGGGAGCAGGGCAGGGGATACACCGATTTCTAGCCCCAAACCCTAAACCCTAAACCCTAAACCCTAAACCCTAAACCCTAGATAAGAGGGTGTGGAGCACTGACAAGGAAAAAGGGATGCCAAGGGTTAAGGTTAAAAGAAAGAGACAAAAAAAAGAAATAATCAAATAATAAAATACATATATATAAATATAAATATAAATATTTGTCTCCTTCTCTGTGTGTAGCTGCAGCAGCCGCAGCCACGACCTCCCTGTACACCCCAAGCTGTGCTGCAGTGCAGCAGCAGCCAGCAGCTCTCTTTCTTTTTTTATTTTTTTTATTTTTATAAATTAAAATAATTTATTTTATTATTTTTATTTATTTCAATAAAAATACAACACACAAACAACACAGATGCACAGACACCGCACACACAAGTGACCTGACCGGACCAGACCAGACCCTAAACCCTAAACCCTAAACCCTAAACCCTAAACCCTAAACCCTAAACCCTAAACCCTCAGAAAAACACGCTAAAGAATGAACTGTAAAGCTCCAAGTAGTGAACCCTAAACCCTAAATAATAAACCGTAAACCCTCAATAATAAACAACAAACCCTAAACCCTAAACCCTAAACCCTAAACCCTAAGTACTGGGCCCGAACCCCTAAACCCTAAACCCTAAAAAATAAAAATTAGACCCCAAACCCTAAACCCTACACTGAAAACCCGCTAAACCCTAAACCCCAAACCCTAAACAACAAACAATAAAGCGAGCACACTAGATAATAAAACCCAATAAATAAACCCCTAAAAATAAACCCTAAACCCTAAACTCTAAACCCTAAACCCTAAACCCTAAACCTCCTCTTGTGCCCTTTTCGGTTCGCTGCCGCCGCCGTTTCCCTTCTCTCCTCCCCCTCTCATTGAAGGCTCATAACCTAAACCCTAGACCCTAAACTCTAAACCCTAAACTCTAAACCCTAAACCCTAAACCCTAAACCCTAGACCCTAGACCCTAAACCCTCTGCTGCGGGGGTTTCATCTTCAGCACATTTTGAGTTCCCCAGGAAACGGGCGATTGGGCTGCTGCCTCTACCGCATCTGTTGGCGCCGTTTCTATCGAGGGTTTAGGGTTTAGGGTTTAGGGTTTAGCTGAGGTGTACA